ACAACAACAACAAGAAAAAAAGCAAAGATCTAAATACTGTACACAAAGAGACAGAATGTGTTCATGAACTGAGAGATTCAAAATAAAAGATGTCAGTTCTCCCCAAAATGATATAGATATTTTACCATTTCCTATCCAAAGCCCAGCAAGAATTTTTGTAGCTATATATGTACATATAGATGCATATTTATACATATATGTAAATAAACATATACATGCATGCACATATATACACACATCTATGTAAGCCTTTTCTAATGTTTATATAAAAAGCAATGTAACTAGCATAGCTAAAACATTTTTCTCACATACTATACAAAAATTAACTTAAAATGGATCCTGGACTTAAATGTAAAACACCAAACTATAAAAGTATTTTTAAAAATAGTTTTAAAATAGGGGGTTCTATGATTAGATAAAAAGTTCTTAGACTTGACACCAAAAGCATGATCCATAAAAGGAAAATGTGACAAATTAGACTTCTACAAAGTCAAAACCTTTTGCTTTGAAAAAATAAAAAGATACACAAAGTTGGAGAGGATGTTTGCAAACCGCATATTTAACAGAAAACATGCATAAATTATTTTCAATTTTAAAAAAATTCAATTAGAAAATTGGCCCAAAACATGAAAAGACGTTTTATTGAAAATGATATTCAGGTGACAAATACACACCTGAAAAAATTTTTTAGCATCATTAGCCATTAGAAAATTTCAAATTGAAGCCACAGAAAGATACCAGGATAGATTGACCAGAATGGCTAAAATGAAGGAATAATAACACCAGATGGATGTCATTCATTGGATTTCGTTCATTGCTGGTGATAATGTAAAATGATACAGCCCCTCTAGAACTGCCCTTTAGAAAAACTGAACATTTGACTTCCATAGGACATGTCTGGGCATCTGTCCCAAATTAGCTTATACACACTCATCTCCAATTAAGTGTTTATAAAATCCCTATTATAATAGATTATAACTAGTAATTGTCCAAATGTTCTTTAATAGGAGATGGTTAAACTGTGGTACATCTATACCATGGAATATTACTTAACAATAAAAATAAATAAACTACTACCATAATCTGGATGAATCTCCAGATAATTATGCAAGGTGAAAAAAATCCTCAAAGTTTACATACTTTATGATTCCATTGCTATAACATTCTTGAAGTGACAGAATTATAGAAACTGAAAACAAGATTTAGCCAATGCCAGAGGCCAAGGAGGGAGTGGAGTAGGGGTGAGAGGGAAGTAAGTAGAACTATGAAAGGGTAACAAGAGGGAATCTGTGATGATGAAAATGTTCTGTATCTTAACTGTATCAGTGTCAAGTCCTGATTGTAATATTATACTACAGTTTTACAAAATGTGACAATGTGGGGACAGTAGGTAAATGATACATGGATCTCTCTGTATTATTTCTTACAACTTTGTGGAAATCTACAATTATCCCAAAAAGTTTAATTTTTTTTAAAAAATGAATGTTTAAATAGCAATAAAATATCATATACGTAAGCAGAAACACTTCCGAGACCACTGGGCAAAAGCAGACAACATAGCAAGGATTCACAGGACAAGGTATATGAAGTCAAAAGAAATTCAAAAATTAAAAAAGAAAAGTAGCACAACTCCCAAAGAACCCCTTGTTTTGCTATGATAACATTTCTTCCTCCCTTGCTGTGTTTGAGTTAATAATGGCTTTACCAGGCCAGGCTGATATTAGGCAAGCTGATGGAATTCAAATCATTTGAGAACGTGGAGTAGCTAGCCAGATGTATGCATAAATCTTAGGGATTTCAATTCACAACAAAGGAAGGCACTTAAGGCCCAGAAGCCACAGCAGCTGATTTTCTTTTGGAAAATTTGTTCTTTTTAGGAATATATAATAGTAGAGTGTATCAACATATTATACATACATGGACTATTGCTTATTCTGATAGGATCCCATTCTTGAGGTTGTATATGATGTGGAGTTTCCATGGTGACATATTCATTTTGGAACATGGGAAAGTTATGTACTATTACACAGTTTTACTGTGATTTCTATTCCCATATCCCCTCCCTTACCTTCATTACCCTTTGTCTAATCGACCGAACTCCTATTCTTCTCATTCCCCTCTTGTTATGTGTTAGCATCTACATATCAGAGAAAATATTCAGCCTTTGGTTTTTGGGGATTCACTTATTTCACTTAGCATGATAATCTCCAGATTCAACTGGCAAATGCCATATTTTCATTTTTCTTTATGACTGAGTAATGTTCCATTGTGTATATATACCTACCATTTTATTTATCAATTCATATGTTGAAGGGCACGTAGGTTGGTTTCAAAGTTTAGTTATTGTGAATAAGCTGCTATAAACATTGATGTGGCTGTATCACTGTAGTATGCTGATTTTAAGTCCTTTGGATATACACCGAGATGTGGGATAACTGGGTCAAATGGTTGTTCCATTCCAATTTTCTGAGGAATCTCCATACTGTTTTCCAGGGTGGTTGCCCTACTTTGCAGTCCCACAAGCAAGGTATGAATGTACCTCCTCTCTACCCCCATCCTCACCAACAATTGTTACTTGAATTCTTGATAACTGCCATTCTGACTGGAGTGATATGGCATCTCAGTGTAGTTTTAATTTGCATTTCTCTAACTGCTAGAGATGTTAAACATTTTTTCATGTATTTGTTGCCTGTTTGAAACACTTTTTGCCCATTTATTGACTGGATTATTTGGGTGTTTTTTGGTATTAAGTTTTTTGAGTTCTTTGTATATCCTAGAGGTTAATGTTCTATCTGAAGTGCAGGTAGCAAAGATTTTCTCCCATTCTATAGGCTCTCTCTTCACGTTCTTGATTGTTTGCTGAGAAGAAGCTTTTTAGTTTGATTCCATCCCACTTATTAATTCTTGATTTTACTCCATGTGCTTTAAGGGTCTTGTTGAAGAAGTCAGTTTCTAAGCCAACATGATGGAGTGTTGGGTCTACATTTTCTTCTAGTAGGTGCACCAGTGTGTGTTGTCTAATTCCTAGGTCCTTGTTGCACTTTGAGTTGAGTTTTGTGCAGGGTGAGAGATAGGGATTAATTTTATTCTGCTACATATGGATTTCCAGTTTTCCCAGCGCCATTTGTGGAAGAGGTTATTTTTTCTCCAGTGCATGTTTATGGTGTCTTTGTCTAATATGAGATAACCAATTTGGGGGGTTTGTCTCTGTGTTTTCTATTCTGTTCTATTGGTCTTCATGTCTGTTTTTGTGCCAATACCATGCTGTTTTTGTTACTGTAGATCTGTAGTATAATTTAAGGTTTGATATTGTGAGAGCAGTTGATTTCCTTGCTCAGGGGCTACAGTGGATCAGGTGAAAAACTATCAGAATCTCAAAGAAAAGGAGAAGTTTGGGCAAGAAGGAGGAAATAGTATTCTCTAAGACTAGAAAAGCAATTTTCAAAGCATTCCTGCTTTTATTATTTTATCTGTTTCTAGCCTCACATCATTACATGTGTGAGGAATTTTATAGTAAATATCAGAAGACAATTTTTTGTAACTTAACAATTTTTTTTCAAAACATATGGACTACTGGAGCTGGGGTTGTGGCTCAGTGGTAGAGTACTTGCCTACCATGTGTGAGGCACTGGGTTTGATCCTCAGCACCACATAAAAAATAAATAAATAAAATAAAATTATCATGTCCAACTACAACTACTACTACTACTACTACTACTACTACTACTACTACTACTACTATTATTATTATTTTAGAAAAAGTATGGGTTACTTAATGGGTTTCACTCAGGAAATGTAAGAGCCTCTGCAAACGTCATGAAACAATTATCACCAAAAAATTTTTTAAAAAAGAGTATTAAAAAGTTGTAAGGAGGAACACAGGTTAAAGGCTATGAATCCCTAATAAGTGATGGTGAAAGAAATGAGAAGAGGTATCTGAATATGAGGATAGTTGGTCCTCCAAGACCCCTGACCACACAACCCTTTAAGCAGGAATGGATCCCAGATCTGTACCCAATAAATAATAACTTCCCATCCCCACTTCCCTAGCCCCTGATGACCTCCATTCCACTTTATGTCTGTGAATTTGTTTAAGGTACCTCATGTAAGTGGGATCATTTGCTCTTTAGTCTTTTGTGTCCTGGTTATTCACTCAACACTCTGTCTTGGGGGTTCATCCGTGTCATAGCACACATCAGAATCAAAGAGTACTTCTTAGGTTGTAATTTCAAATTCTAGAAACTGTTTTTTCCATCTGAATCATATCTGGCTCATTTTTTGCACATTTGTTTCTCTTGGAACATTTTCTAGTCCCTCTGTCCTGGTTGTTAGACAGTCTTTAGCCCTCAGCAGTCATTTCTTCAGACTTTCCCTGAACCAACACATTCAGTCAAATCTACTGTTGTGATTTCCTGTTGTGTAATTCTCTTCCCAAACTGTTTATTTGTGGAATTACATTTGCCCTTCTTTCCCAGGATTTTCTGTTGGAGGCTAGGGATTCCACTTGCTGTAATATCCCTTATGGCTGGCAAAAATGTATGGAATTTAATAGGTCTGAATGAATGAATCTCACTTAAAGCCACTGTCTTCAAACTTTCTTATTGACTGCCAGAACAGAGCAATATATCTAAAAATAATGAGCACAATCAGAAAACTTAGGTTCTATAATTCTCAGTTCTAACTTTAAATAAACATGCAATCTTACAACATGGTTTAAATGCACTAGTATCTGCATCCTATGCAAAATGAATAGACTGAATCTTTTCAAAGCCTCTTCAAAATAATGGTTTACATATTTGTATATAATTTGTAACAGAAAACGTATGTTTGTCTTATTGTCATTGCACATATGGTAACCTTTAAAATTAGCTTCAAGTAATTATTTCTATTTAATTCTTATGAAAGTGAGTTAATTACATAAGTACAATAAAAAGGCTAAGTTGTAAACTGTGAATTTCATTGACCATTGATTAATCTTTTATTTTTATTTTTTGTGATAGTCTGATTCCACGTAAGTTGATGCATGATTGGAAGGAACTGTTTTTCAATGGAAAGCCCTTATATGAGCAAGCCTCTATTAAGCATCTGCCTGCTAGGCACCCTGCAGGACAACTTGTAGAATTGGAGAAAAGGGACTTGCTAGATAACAATGATTATGAAGAATATAAGGTACATCCTGATATGAAACCATTAGAGAATGCAATATAATAAATTATTTTTCCTTAACTTTAATTTTGTGATATTTTATTTCATTTATACTAATTAAAATACACATTTTATATTTGTATTTCTTTTGTGTTAATTTCTGTTTATGGAACTAATTTTTAGATGCCTAAACTATTCATAATCCATTAGCTCTTGATCTCAGTAATACTAAAAGAGCAGTTTGAAAAAAATCAAGCATAATACAGTGTCTGGGAAGATAGATTTCAGGCTTTAAAAAATACCTTAATTTGTTCATTACCATTATTCTTTGTATGAGTTTCTGTCTATATGTGCTTCAAAAAACATCGTTAAAACTGATTTTTTTCTTTTGTAATTTATCTCAATGATATGCAGCCTTTGCAGATAAAATGGAAGAGGAAGAGGTCAATGATAGCATAGATTCAAACAACATACTTTTTCTAAAATTAGGAAAAAAGTATTGGATACCAATTGTGCTTATTATATATTTTTTCATGTAAAATTATTTTATTTTTTAATGTGGCACATATTCATGGAGTACAGTGTGATAATTCAATACATATGTACAATATATTATGTGATTATAGTTTAGAACAATTTATTACATATTTTATAAATAACTAGATGAGGAATTTGAAGTTTCCCAGCACAAAGAAATGATAAATATTTAAGAAGATGGAAATGTCACCTGTGCTTTTTAGACAATCTGTCAAAAACAACAATAACAACTTAAGGAATAGACAGGCTAGAGTTTTACTATTGGTACTCCCAACTACTAACTGTAAACCTTAGGTGAATGGTCTAAGAGACTCAGGTCCCAGTTTATTAGATAAGGATACTATACCTACCTCATACTGTTTTTTTGAATTTTAATAATTATTGAACACTTAGCCAATGCATTGCATGTTGGAGGCTAGTAATACATATTAATTTCTTATACTATTCTGCTTTCCCCACCCTTCTCCTCCTCACTGTTGGAAGTAAAGATGTAAAATGATAATCTTGAATAGAAGTTCTGGGTAGATCCACAGTCATGAAATATAGAATGAGAATGTTTATTGTTAGAAACGTTGTTGGCTTCAGTTCCATAAGGGTAGCAAGAGCAACATGAAAAGAGCAGCCCAGGAAAGATGGTTTGACCCAACTCTCTGCTCATAAGTAGTAAATACTCAATAGACATTTGTTGCAGGAGGCTTTAATGAGTAATGCCAATGAGCAGGGAAAAGAGTAAAGTACCACTAATATAAGTAATTTAAGAGAAGACAAGCTCCTGGTAAAATGTTATAGAAAAATATGAAATGATCAGACACTAAATATGCACCATATTTAAATTGAGTGAATCTACATTTGAGGTACCAAGATAATTTTTATTTATTTAGGTTTTACTTTAATCTCACAAAATATATATGGATCTTTATTTTGTATGATTTTAGAGTATATTATACTATGTCAAACAAAAGTCTAAAGCCACACATTGCAATACTTTGATAACATCAAAGTAGGTTAAGGTATTTCTTTCCATTGCAAATTAAGGTCATTTTAATTGACAAACAAGAGCAAACTTATTTGACAATTTTTTCAAGCAATTTTTATAACAAATATTAACTGACAATTGTACAAATATATGGGTTTCACAGTGACATTCCCATCCATGAAAATGCTGTGCTTTAATCATATCCTCCTCCCTTCTACACTCTCATCCTCCTCTTCCTCCCATTTCTCTCAGAGTCCCTGGAGTTCCCTTCCCCTTCCCTAATAGTTACTTCCTCTTCTACTTTAGATTACTTTTCTTTTTTAGTTTCTACATATGAGTTTTGTTTTGTTTTTACAATATTTGTCTTTCAGTGTCTGCCTTATTTTGTTTAACGTAATGACCTCCAGTTTCATCCATTTCCTATAAATGACATGATTTCATTCACACAGTGAAATATTACATGTGTGCGTGTGTATCCTGCCTTATTTATACATTCATCCAACAATGGGCATCTAGGCTGACTCTGTAACTTGGTTATTGTGGACAGTGCCATAATCATGATAGGTATTCAGGGATCTCTTTTGAATATTAACTTCATCTTCTTTATGCATGTACCCAAAAGTGGTATAACTGAGTCACATGGTAAGTTTAATTTCATTTTTTTATCAAGCTAGTTCTTTTGCACATTTGTTCCTCTTGGAACAGTTTTCTAGTCCCTCTGTCCTGGTTGCTAGACATTCCTCAGTTTTTTAAAAACATTCATATTGTTTTCCATGGTGGCTAGTGTTAGTTTATATTTACCAACTATGTGTGAGGATTACTATTCCTACATATTTCATATTTTTTAATAATAGCCATTCTTACAGGGGTAGTTTTGATTTTATTTCAGAATAGCTAAATATGTTGAACATTTTTCATATATTGACCATTTGTACTTCTTCTGAGAAGTGTCTATTGAGATAATTTGTCCATTTTTTCACTGGATTACATGCTCTTATGATGCTGTGTTCTTGAGTTCTTTACATATTCTGGATATTAATCCCCTGTCCGATGGATAGCTAGAAAAGATTTCCTCCCGTTCTCTAAATTGTCTCTTCACTCTGTTGATTGTTTCCCATTCTGGGCAGAAGTTTTTTAATTTCTAATGCCTTTAGGAACAGAAGTCCTGTTTAGGAAATTGTTGCCTGTATCTATATCTAGAAGTTTTTTTCCATGTGTTTTTCTCTACTAGTTTCAAATTTGGGGGTCTCACACTAAGATTTTAGTTTCAGTCTTCTTCGTGTAGGTGTTCAGTTTTCCCAGAACCCTTTGTTAAAGAGGTTGTCTCTTGTCCAAATCTGTTTGGGGAGCCTTTGTCGAGGATCAGATGGCTGATTTCTGGGCCCTATGTTCTATTTGTACTATGTTCTTGTTTTTATGTCAATACCATGCTGTTTTTGTTTTTGTTTTTTGTTTTTTTGTTTTTAACTATGTTAACAATGGCTCTGTATTTTTAAATAAGGTATTATGATGCTTCCAGTCATGATTTTTTGCTCAGGATTGCTTTGGTTATTTGAGTTCTTTTGTGATTCCATGTATATTTTAGAATTTTATTTTTGTAGTTTTGTGAATAATAACATTGGTATATTGATTGAGACTGCATTGAATCTGTAGGTTGATTTTAGTAGTGTGACCATTTTAAAAAATATTAATTCTCCCAATCCATGAACAGAGGAGGTCTTTTTATCTTCTAGTGTCTTTAATTTTTTTCTTCGGTGTTTTATTATTTTAATTGTAAAGTTTTTTGACCTCCTTAGTTAGGTTTATTTCCATGTTTAGTGAGGTTTTCGTTTGTGTTTTGAGACTATTGTGAATGGCATTGTTTTCCTGATTTTTTTTTCTCAGCAAGATTATTACTGCTGTATATAAAAGTTACTGATTTTTGGATGTTGACCTTGTATTCTACTACTTTTCTGAAGTTATCAGTTCTACCTCTTTTAGTGGAGTCTTTAGGTCTTCTAAGTACATGGTTATATCTTCTTGAAACAGGGACAATTTGTCTCCTTCTGTTCCTGTTTGTATTCCTTTTCTTTCTTTCTTTTTCCTGATTGCATAGGCTAAAATTTCAAGTATATATTGAGTAAGAGTATGAAAGTAGACACCTTCATTTCATCCCTGATTTTAGAGGAAATACTTTCAGTTTTCCCCACTCAGTATGATATTGTTTAGGATGGCCTTTATTATGTTGAGGTACAATCCTTCCATACCTAATTTATTGAGGACTTTTTTCATGAAGTCATGTTGAATCCTATGAATCACTTATTTTTCATCTGTTGAGATGATACTATGTGTTGTGTCCTTGATTCTATTTATGCTTTGTATTGTACTTATTTATTTGCATATGTTGAATCATCCATGCATGTCTAGAATGGAAACAGCTTGATTGTGTATGAGCTTTTAAAAATGCTGTTAAATTTGATTTATAAGTACTTTATTAAGGATTTTTGCATCTTTGTTCATCAAGGATATTAGTTTATAGTTTTCTTTTTTATTAGGTTTTGATAGCAATGTAATACTTGCTACATAGAAAGTTTGAAAGGGTTCCTTCCCTTTCTGTTTTATGGAACAGGAGGATTATTTTTAATTCCTTTTCGAATACGTGGTAAAATTCATCATGAGTCTGTTCAGTTCTGGGCTTGTCTCTATTTACAGACTTTTCATGACTGATTATTTGACAGGTTTTGCTGATTGTGGCATTTTTTCTCTGTTATTTCTTCAACAGCTTATCTATTTTTGTTGTTCTCATATATTTGGAGACCTAGTGGGCTACAGCTTAGCAAAGTCTTTTTAACTACATATCTTGCTTGGGAAATGGTTACCACAGGAACATGCTTGTCTTACCCACTTCCTGAAGCATCTGGTGTTTCTTTTGCAGGAAATTGTAAACTTATATTAGGAGTTTGTGAATGTCTGGCAATGTAGTTTATTTTTGTGTAGAGCCTTTTATGTTTTTCTAGAAATGACACTTTAGAATTTCTGATAAATATTTACAAACTCTGTTCCTTTTAATCACATAAAAGTAATATACCATGTACAGATTTTAGGATGTACTGTAAGATATTATATCATTTTCCAATTTTATAAATTTTGTCTAAGAACTTGTCATAAATATTCCTACATAAAAATAAAAAATAAAATTTTTAACTTAAAAAATATATTATCAGGCTTAAATAGCCTATAACAAGAGACAGAAGGGCAGTGTATCCTGGATTACCCAATAGAAATAGTTGTTCAAGTTTTCTATTACAAAATTCATTCCAGATTTTTATTGTTTTAAGTAAATGCATGACTTAAAAATTAATCTTCAAAAAGTTTACCTCCCTGAATACTTTATTGGTATCTAGACACACCATCCGTAAAGAACTGACATCTCACAGTTTTGAGCTCATGGTTTTAGGAGGCCATGCTCTGTTAGAGTAAGCTATCATGCTTAAAATTTTAAAATATTGTATCAGAAATGGGCATAAAATAA